ATAATTTTTTAAAAAAATTTATTTTTATGTTGAATTGATCTTTCTTTATGTTAGAAACAAGTCTGTTAGTTTAGTTATTTATGTTGAATTGATTTTTATTTATATTTGGACAATTTATATTTGATTTTATATTTAAAGAATTTTTGTTAATGGTAATCAAATTTTTAGAATTTTATTTATTGTAATTGAATATTTATTAATTATATGTAAAAAATTTATATTTGGATATAAATTGACAAGAAATGAGAATCCCTGTGGGGATCCTTGCTCTCTGCATGAGGGCAAAATTTGTCTCTCGTCAAAAATCCCTGTGGGATCCCTGTTCTCACCATTCGTAGGGATGAGAATGAAAAGGGATTCCCCAACCCCATGGGGCCTGTCACCATCCCTAATGTCAATATCTTATCTATGCAAATGATATACAACCAGGTGTTAAGTCTATCGTAAAGAAGAAACGTTAAAATGCTTAAATTGTAATGTTTAGGGGCTTATTTATTTTAATAAGAGTTAAGGAACTTAATTGAAATTTTAAAATAAGTTTAGGGGTTTAATGTTGGGTTTTGCCTAAACTAGACCGGTAAACTCTTCCCTGAATTTTGCTTCAAACCTACAATTAAGCTTTCACATTGATCCAACCCAAAAAAAAAAACCTTTGGATATCATGAAACGGGCCTCGGTCAGGTTTAAGCCACCGACTGGCCCAATTACACCTCCAAATCCACCGAAGAGCAGAATTTAGCTATGACATTTGAGTCTGCTCATCCCTTCCAGTTCAGCTAAATTGCAGAGAGCTTTGCTCCGACCACCGAAGGTATTGTCGACGGTCGGCGATGGCTCCTCTACAGCCCAAAAATGGGATGTTCGTTGGACTGAACAAAGGCCACATTGTCACCAAGCGTGAATTGGGTCCTCGACCTTCTGATCGAAAGGGTGTATGTGATCTTTCTACCTATTTTCCCTGTTTTTTTAAATGAATTTATACTTTTTCGATCCACATTGTAGTGATTCAGTGCCGGTTGCGTTGTCTGTTTGATTCTTTTGTTGTTAAAAAGTTTTTGTCTGATGTTGTCTCGATTATGTTCTGATTTGGTTATTTAGAAAACGAGCAAGAGGGTGAATTTTGTGAGGGGATTGATAAGGGAAGTTGTGGGTTTTGCTCTCTATGAGAGGAGGATCACTGAACTTCTGAAGGTGGGTAAGGATAAGCGTGCACTCAAGGTTGCCAAGAGAAAGTTAGGTACCCACAAGAGGGCAAAGAAGAAGAGAGAAGAAATGTCCAATGTACTCCGTAAGATGAGGTCAGTTCTTACCTCTTTTCCATCTTATGCTTTCCTTTATGCTCTTTCCATCTATAGTATGCCTGGGAAAGTTTTAGGTGATGTTCAATGTCTTGGTAATATGATTATCTCTGTTACGTAATCATCTACAACTAATTGGAAACCCAAAATGAGTTAGGTATTGTAATCAGTGAAAGAGTTTTGTGGAGGGAAAATGGATCTTTATCGAGAAACAATAGAACCTTTATAGTTTCTGCACGGTTAGGTATGCCAATTACCATTTTTGGACTATATTAGATTGCATTTTAATTTTCATGCCACTATTCAATGAAATCTGCTGGATGTCTGCATTTAGGATTAAGGAGTTGAAATGCAAGCGTTTCTAATCTCTCAGCATAGGTGTATATTAATGGACACTTTCATGGTTATTGAGTATTAAGTTATCAATGTGTTTTGTTATTGATTTTCAGGTCTGGTGCTGCGTCTCATGAGAAGAAAAAGTGAAGTGAAAATCCAAACGGTTTGAAATTGTCTCCTTTAATCTATGGATGATATTGTAGCTTAGTAATGCCAGTTGATTTTTGTTATGCCTTTTTATGATCCTACTTAAAAGGGTTAAAAGTTCTGAAATTTTGACTTCCTTTGAGATATTTGGATTTTCCTTTGCCTCCAAGTTTTCTTCACGAGCCACTAGCTTGATCTAATTTTTGTGATGTGCTTGATTGATCCCATATTGCTAGTCAAATCCTTGTATCTTTGTGCAACTTTTTATTTAGAAAGCTATATATCTATCCTAATGACTTAGTTGTGCCTGCTAAAGTATATATGCAGTAGTCAAGACTTGATGTAGATGATGCAAGTTGGGCTGCTGGCATGCTCTTTTTTGTGGCAAAAACCTGCTGTGTGATGACCAAGATTGGATAGGAGTATTTTGGCAACGTAGTTCAGAATATTTTGAGGAATTTGGGATCACCCTCCCCCTACTTTGAGTTGTCTACTAGGATCCGTCTCTGCCATGCGTTGTGAGAGAATACGTAAATAATCATCTATATAACAGATGTCCAACATGTTCACCTTATATTCCATCATTCCTAATCTTTTAGTTGGGGTTCTTTGATCAATGCCTATCCATCTCCAATTACTTGAGGTGTCCTTTTCAATGGTTGGCTGCTGCCTAAATCTAACACGATACAAATTCTTTTTTCCCATATAAGAAAAGTAGACAAGTTTTATACCCCTTTGAATGGTATTTTCTTTTTTTCCTTTGGCCGAATCTTTGAATGTTATAATATAGATCTGGTTTTTTCTCTTTCAGTGGCAGAAAGGAAGTATGTGAATTGATATATGCTTGCTTTAGGTGAATATTCAAACGGGATAATGCCCTTTGGATCCAGCATAGAACAGAATAATCCTGCTATTGCTTTCACAACCAATGCATTTCTGAATGTGGGTTCAGCCCTGAAATCTGACCTTACCTGCCTTATAAATTATAGGTTAAATGTCAATTTAATTAGTTTGTAAACTTTTAATTTTGAAATTTTTAGTCCCTGAACTATTTTCGCACTTTTTGTCCCTAAATTATGAAAAATGCATCTTTTTATTCTTTCCATTAATTAGTTGTTAAGTCTGTATAAATATATACACTTTTAATACTTAAATTTATCATATAAACACATTTTTAGTCTCTAAACTTAAAAATGTATATATATAAACAAATTTAACAGACTAAAAAAAGTGTATTTTTTTTATCATTTAGGGACAAAGTATTAAAAAAATTTGAGAACTAAAAATGTTCAAAATTAAGAGTTTAGGGACTAAAATTGACATTTAACCTAAATTGTAATGGACAAGAGGGATTTCTGTTTTCAATCTTTTTGATCGAAATACTTTTCCCCCATGCTGCAGTTGCCTTAAATAAACCTTATTCCAAATTTGAGGCTCCTATCTTATTGGCCAATGAATCCCATCAAGCAATAGTGAGACACTAAACAAAAGGCAAGAAAAATATGCAATTTTATCACATTAGTGCTAATCAACATCAATTAGAAAGCGATTTTGTCGATATGTGGTCTTGAGAATTAGTGTCTTTATTTTTTGTCTTGGTACATCTTCAGAATTAGTGTCTTAATGAGGCAGGAACTGAACTGGTTAGGCAAAGAAACAGAGACAAACTGATTATTTCTTAGCACTTTTGGACGGTTTTACTTCACAACCAAGTTAATCATTCCATTCTGGAGAAGAAATATCCGGAATTGGAAAATTATCCTGATTGGGCCTAACTTAGACCTTAAGTATCCCTTCCAATCCCAAGTTGAGTCCAACAGCCGAGCCCATGTCTCACCTTTTCAAGAACAGGAAATTTTAAAAAGAAAATGGAGGAAAATGGAAAAATATACATAAAAGATGAAAGTACATCACTTATTTGATGTTATTGATGCATGGGGGAGCTTAAGTAACTTGATTCAGACAGATTATGTCTAATATTATATAAACAAAAATTAGGGTCTAATCAGTTCAACGAAATGTCTAAACCTAAATGGGCAAAGTACTAATGGAGTAGGTTGCTTCCTCATTAATTCTTGAATAAATAATAATCTTTGCTCTTAATTTTATAATATAAATGACTTGATGCTGATGGCTCGAAGCAAAACTATCTCCTTCCCCCACCAATTTTGGTTGTAGGGTTTTCTGAAACGGACAAATACAAGCAAACAAAAAACCTAACGATCAAAATTAAGTGCTTCGTCACGCAAGCATCTAATTATATTCCATGCAAATTAAGAAAAAAAAAAAAAGTGCATCCATAATGTTGCTACACGTTGCGAGTTTGTTTGGCCTAACTGTATGATGTATCTTTTATAAAGTGTCGTTTTAATACAACTTTAGGAGTGGTATTTGACTATATAAATTATCAAATTTAGAAGTTTAATAAAAAAAAAAGTTATTTTAATTTAATTTTAAAAATTAAAAATACTTTTCAAAATGATGTATTTAATTAACCGAGTTATAATTTTTACAAATTAAAGAAAATATTTTTCAAAAATTGAGTCAAACACACACAAAATATCCTTGTAGTTAAAATCTAAATTTCAAGACAGAAGGGTCAATGGAGAGAATGTTTAGATATAATTTTGCTGAATTTTAAATAACCAACACAATCAATCAAAAATCTGTTTTGCATGAAGAAGACGACAGCGCACTTTGAAAAATCATGCATTTGTTTGATTTAGGTCTTTCTTTTTCTTTGTATGAAAATCCCATTTGCTTTATATTAAGGAATAATCTACAAAGTGCTTTATATATATATATATATATATGTCTTTCGTGAATAGGAAAATTCTGGATGGAATATGTCGAATACATACTTCCCCCCATTTTTTCTATGAATGGATCCAACATGTTGAATTGAATCAACTAAGGTTGTCACTAATAATTGATGATTTTAATAATCAAACACGGTTTAGATTTAATATTAGGAACGTACGTAATTACACGTGCATCGTCGAGTCGCTAATTAAAAAAAATGATGTTAATTAATTTTTAATAATGTGCCTTATAATATGACCTATACCTAATAATGCAACCAACACATGTTATTTTTAATATCGTTTCCTAAGAGCACCACCTAATTAAGAATTTCAGCATCACATCAAGGTCTATTGTAATTAATTAACTAAATTAACAACTTATGCCAATCATAGCAATTGGTTAATATTAATTGCCCCATATCCAAATCCAAGTTGCTTTGGACAGCTATAAAGTGTCAACTTCGGATGCTGCCCACCTAAAAAGAAATCCATCAACATATTTGATTGGTTTGGTTCAAGTCCCACAGGCAGCAGCCAAAGAAATGAAATAGTAGTATACAAGAGTCTTCTAGGCAAAGGCAAAAAACTACAGTAATTGGGTACAGTCCCCAATTATAAGGTTATCTTAACAACAGAGGGTTTTTGAAATTAGTACTAGGAAAATGTTTTGTACTTTGAACATAAGGAAGGGGATTGGTACATTCATTACAATGGGTAGTGCGTGTTGGCAAACACCTATGGTTGAAGGGGTGCAACTTGCACAAAGCTTGGGCCACACCAAAGAATTGAACTATTTAAACCATGGTGTTGGTGTTATAACCAAAGGGCAACTATTGATATACATTTTGATTTAATAATTTATACAATATATTTATTAAAAAATTATTATTTTTTGGTTTTATACAAAACCGAAAGGTCACACTTGAGAATTGGACTATATAGACCATGTTATTGGCGCATCATAACCAATCTCTACAGGGACCGGTTCAATTAATTGTGAAATCTTACCCAACACCAATGGTGGAAGGAGTGCAACTTAAACAAAACCAAGTCACACCTGAGAATTGAACCATATATACCATGGTGTTGGTGCATTAATTAGAATCAATCACTATAAGGACCAGTTAGGAAAATGTATACTAGGCCTGTTAAGGAAACTTCCCTTAATGTCCAGGCAAGGTGGGGTTGGAAAGGCCTAAAAAATCAGAGTGGGAATCTAAAATATATGGGACATGTCTGTATGATTGAGAGGCACATGTGGGAGAACGTGAGGGACTCAGAAGAAATTGGAATCTCAGTCTCTTTGGCTCTTTGCTTTCTTCCTTTGGCCATGCCATTCTCCATCAATTACAGATACAATCAAACCTACAGAGACATGTCCGGACTGGCTATTACAAAAGTGAAAGCTGCAATGGTCTTGTAGGATCAGAGCACACAAACCCATGTAAGGAAATCAACACATGACAACTTGAAATCACTCAAAGGGAAAGGATAGAAGTAGTAAACAGAAATAGATGGATAGCTAAGATTTGGCTTCGAATTCCGAGCCTTCTTCTAGTATTTTGTACGGCTATTTCTTTTCTTTGATGAATAACAAAAATGAGATTTAACCCCTAATTAGTACTACTATAATAAAATTACTCTTGCCTGTCCAACATAAAAAATAATTGGAATAGAGTAATCTCTATTATATTTAATTTTTAAAATTTTTTTATAATTAATAATTAATATTTTGTACTTATTTAAATAATAACACATCATATCATATACATTATTATCATATACATCTCTGTATTTTTTTTTTTTTTTAAGTCTTAATAGATATCGACAATTTCGGGATCGCTATAGTATAGTTCGTGGGAAGTTCTCCTTTGATTACTGAACAAATGAAGATCGTTGTCTGACCGACCCACCAAACTACAAGATTATTGTCCCATGCCTGTCTTTCTCTATCTATGACTATCGTTTAGAGAGAGAGAGAGAGAGGGGAGCTTTTTCTTTGAAGGTTTTGAATGTGCTTTATTCGTTCTTGGTAAGCAGGTATAGCATTGGGTATTGAAAAAGCAAATCCGAAACATTCCTAGATTCCTTTCTTTCAGCATGACCCTATTCCAGATGGATTATAATAATAATAACCTTATAATTATGATGTTAATTTATTATTATATATTAATTAGAGGGAAGTTTCTTAAGGAGGGAGAGTTTTTCCTTTATTGATTTTTTTAATAAAAAAATATAATTTTGAGTGGTCCTCTTATAATTTAATCATGAAATTGGTTTCAATAATAGGTAGAGCCCATTTTGTCCAGCTTTCTGCGAACATTGTGCCAAATTCATCGGCCAAATTTTATCTATTTACTACTACATGAATTGCCAAATATTTAGAAAGGTAACAGAACATGTCATCCATTACAGTCATCCTTGGAAGCCCCAAACCAATCATTTTGTTGGAAACTTAACCTGCCTCCCTATTCTTACTCGTGTTCATACTGTTTAATCACATTACCTCTTCATGTTTAATCACGTACCCCTTAAATTTTGACCGTGTGAAGGGATAATGTGATTAAATAGTACTAATATGAATTAAAATACTAATAGATGGATTATAAATTGCAAAAAATTTAATAAAAAAATGATTGATACACTTTTTAATTTAATATATTTATCAATTTAGTTAGTAAAATTTTAAATTTTAAATTTTCCCACCTTTAATTTAAATTTGAAAATATAACTTTTTAACGAATGTACAGTAAAATATATTAAATTATAAAGTGTATGTATCATTGTTCAAAAGTAATATTAGGCAAAATTCAAATGTAACACCATCACTACAAAAAAAAATCCCTCAATTGCGATATTTTTTTACTGCAAAAAACATTGCAAACACTATTTTACTGTAATTTTAGTGTAAACCATCATAACAAATAATGTCTCAAGGAACAATTTTTTTGTAGTTTATATAAATTGCATTAAAGAAATATAAAAGATATTTTAAATCCATAAGATAAGATCCATGTGTAAACAATTGTTATCTTATAAGTTAAGTTTATGATTCAAAGTATTTATGGCAAAACTTAAATAAAATACTTCAACTTGTTACCAACTAACCTCAGAACATATTAACTAATCCTTATCCTGTCAACGCATAAGTAGGGAACTGGACCCAGGCATGAAAATGCTAAGCTCTCTACTTTCCCTTTTAGCCACACAAAAAGAATTGGCTTGAATAAATAAAATCTATTAATTATACACAAATTACATCATCTTTTGGGAGGAAGAAAAAAAAAACACACACACATTCGAAAGTAGTCTTCATAATCTGATTTTATTTTGAAAATATAGGAATAATTTGAAAATGAAGACAAGATTATATTCCCACGTTATATATAATCTCAAAATTCAAAATTAACTTTGAGTGATATCAGTCAAGAAACGAATTTTTGGTCTCAACAAATGTAGTCCCTTCTAAATCTTATAATATCCATTCTTGAGATTCATTTTCCCACTTCCCAATCAGAAGAATTAACCCAGAGAATTTGACAGTTTCAATACTGAAGTACTACATTCCCTAGAAACCCTAATTGATGGTACTAAAATCAACTCTGAAACTGATCAAGTAACTATTCACTTGATGTCTCGATGTCCTCTTCAAGTCAAAGTCCTGCTGACTGACTGACTGACTGACTGTCTTGCTGTGTTACGACCAAAGCCCACAGTAGTTGTCAGTAACGTGAGCGAGTGAGATCAGAGCATAAAACCAGCTGCCCCTGGCACCTGGCCCCCTGGCACCTGGCCCCCTGGCCAGCAGAAGATGTACATTAGTTGCTGCACACTTCCACGCAGCCATGGAGGCGCGTGCCAGGGAGCGCCAGTTCTTGGTCCACATACTGACAAATCACTACTTTGTCGCATAGTGAAACCTTTAAATAACACGTTCCCACTCGCGTAAAACAGAGAACGTGGGTCAGACATTCTCTCTCCGTTTCTTCTGTTGTTTTGTCCAAAATGTATCACTTTGACCCTGTTTTGTTTTTCCGCAATTTTTTTATAGAAGTTTTCCATGTTCTGTGTTTTAAGGCAAAGAGACAGATTAAGTGAATGTAATTATTATAAATTGACATCGATTGGAGGCGATGATTGTAACTCTCTACTCCCTCAGTCTTACACTAACCAATCTTTTTTTTTTTATTAAATTTATTTTAAATTAATTATCGACATCTCATTTTTATAATTTTATAATGCTTTAATCAATCTTTTTCTTGTTAATTTCATTTTAACTAAGTAGTTATAAGAAAAGATGTATTGATATACAAGTGATGGTAATTTATTTTGAAGTAAATCAGATGATGCATTATTTTAAGTTCTTTGAAGTTCGAAATTTGAACACATACATAACAGATAAACTTTTTTAATAATAACGTTATTATTAGATCTTCTTTGAAAAAGCTCGAGAGAATTCTCTTAACAGGGATTTTAAGACACCATGATGATCCTTGGTTATGGTTTGGAGTGGCATTTTGGAGTCTTTTGAGAATCATGTTTCTTTGATTACTAGTACTACACTACTACTCCTGATATTTAGTACTAATTAATCATTAATTAATGTTTTGATCTAACTAAGGCTGCGGACTGACTGGGGAGTACGTTCAAGCATTATTACATTATCATTCCCTTTTACTATTGCAGTTGGCCTGATCTGTCTGAGATTTAGTATGTGCAGAGAGAGATCAGAGAGTTGTCTTTATTCCTTAACACCAACACCCACACCCACACAGCCACATGCAAATATATATATATATATAATAAAAATCATATAAGCATGCATCGTGAATAATGGGGAGTCATTAAAATCTAGGTGGATCTCTTAAGGGGAAATGTGAAAGACTACATATTAAAAAACAGAGAAAGTAGGTATAGTCTCAGAACATGTATGATGTATGTAGCTAGCTATCGCTCTATAGGTTCTTCTTGGATACTTAAAGAAGCTAGCATGGATAACTTCCTTTTTATTTTTTCTGGTTTCTTTGTCCCCTCTTTCACTTGTACATTTTTGTGGGCATTTGGCAGAACCATAAAAAAAAAAAAAAAAATCTTTCCTTTAAAGCTATCAATTACTGAAGTCAGCTATGGCTGCACAATATGGACAAATGCAAATATGCACTCATTTGGGAAACATTTGAAGGGAATATCAATGCATAACAAGCCTAAAGTCACAATTGTATATACACTAGAGGTGGGAACTAGAAACAATATCTAGGCTAAATTTGAATATTGTAGTTAAAGTATCTTTAGAGACCAAATTCAAGGTTTAAGTTTTAGGCTTAGTACTAAGGAAATTGATTTATTTGAATGCATTATCAAAGAAGAGATTAGTCTCGAGAGCTAGTCTAAAGACACTTTAACTATGTACTCAAATAAAACAAAAAAATAGGGTATATTTAGTTTGAGAGAAATAAAGTAAAAGGAAGGGGAAGGATCAATTATTTTTTTAGTTAATTAAATTATAATATTGATTGGTATTGCAATCTAATTAATTAAAATATTTATCTCTCCACTTCTCTCATTTTTATTCTCTTCAAACCAAACATGCTCTTAACGTAAGTTAATTAATGCAATCTCAAATTGGCATCTTTTAACTAATGGGTGGGAAAAATCTACATTGAATAATTAAGGAACTTGGACATGTATATAACAATATGTTCCACTTCCACTGGTTTATCAACTGGTTTTACTTTGGAATCTCTTTATTGCTTACTGAGTGAGAGGAATCAAGCATTGAATTGGAAGGTACTTAATTTTTTTGGTATAAAAAGCTACATTTACTACAAAAAACAATGCAACATATTTAAATACAGAAAAAAGATCGGTCAATATGGTTTAATCAACAAATCTTTTGACTGGTAGAGTCTCATTTGATCATTACATTTCCTAGATTAATTCAACATTGTCCTCCAAGTACTTTCTCTTTGAAAATTTCAGTGAATTGCCTCGTTCAAGTACAACTCATCATACCAAATTAATGGTGTATTCAAAATCTTCAATTCACTAGAGATTTGAGATAAAGATGCTATATATAATGATTGAGATATGTTACTTTTCCTGTGATGATTTCGACCAAGAACACTGAGAACAAATAAGTGGAAAATCATCGAGAAAGTATTATATCCCCTTGTTCCAATTCAACTAACATGAACAGAAAAGTACATTTAAAATTTACCCAACACCGACAATAAGAGATAAAAAAATGCATCAACAAAAAAACAGAAAAGAGCAAACCAAATCTTGCTCAAACTAATATTAACAAACCAAATGAAATGAAGTAGGAACCAACTACTTAATTGACCCGTGATTAAAGCCAATTATCCCAAGCAATTCATTAATTGCAAAGAGGACGAAATAACGCTTTACATTTCAATGGTTAAACTTTATAGGTATTAATTAATTAAACAAAGTTGGCCTTTATTTAGACTTCTTAAAAGCATTACATTCTTTAACTCCATCAAGAATAAAATCAAAATTCAAAGGGTTGAATCCAAACATTCCAAAAAAAAAAAAAAAAAGTTTCCTTATGAAAAAATATAAAATTAACTCATATTCCCAAAAGGAATCGCCTACCACTCATCCTCAAAATGTACAAAAAAATAAAAAAGAAGAAGTAAATTTAACTCAAATTTACCGAATGAAATCAACTGCCATTTCATATTCTTCAAGATTTAGATTTATCACCATATATATCATCAAAATTTAAATTTAAGCAATTGCCTCCATGGAAGCATAAAGAGAGTAAAAGGGGTCATCAAATATAGAAACTGAATTAATTAGAACTATTTTGCACAAAGTGCATTTCATCAACATTTCTCATACAAACACCATAAGCAGAAACACTCACTATTGCAAACATGATCACCATCATCTCATACATTGCAATCTAAAACTAAATAATCTCGAAAAAAAAAAAAAAAAACCTACCAATTCTAGGGTTTTCGGTTGGAGAAGCTAAGTAGTCCTTGAGTCTCCATCTTCCTTCTCATAGTTAATTTTCTTTATAATTGAAGCTACACTAACAAAAAACCGAAGCTTCATAAGGGATTACTAGTGGATGAAGAGCTAAAACTCGATAGATCTGTCCATGGTGTTCCGCCCCAGTAATGCTCGTTTCCGGGCATCCCCATCAACTGCCTTGAAAAATTTAGCTCTTGATTCTCCTCCATTTTCACAGACGCCACCTGGGTGGCCATCCCGGAGTTGGATAACTTGGGTCGGATCATCTGACTCGCTCCATAGCCAGACGGTTCAACAGACGTACCTTCAAATGGGTACAATCCTGAGGAAGAATCCAACCCACCGCCTAAGAAAGGAAATTGCGGGCCTTGTTGCAGCCGCCACTGATCCAATCCTGATAAAAGAGAAGAACCGCCCACTACTGTGCCGGCGGCGCCGGGAGCCAACGCGCTTCCTATCTGAAAATTCATGTCATTAGCGCCCAAATTTGGAGCAGAAAATCCTCCATAATTCAACGCCATATCGCCGGTTCCATATTCAGTTAGATGATGCAACGGAGCCATGAACGACAGCTGCGGAATCTGAGGTCCGATGCGTAAAATATCTGTGCTTCCGGAGGAAATCGTGCTGGAGGATCCAGACGCCGTCTGTCGGTCGCTGCTGGCAGGAGACTTGGAGCTGCTTCCTTTGCTTCTCTTGTTCCTGCGGCAACCTCCTCCGACCGGGACGTTCCTCAACGCACCCCCTCGAGTCCAGTACCTTCTGCAAGTCTTGCAAAAGTGACGAGGCTGCGTGAGACTGTAGTTATTGAAATAACAAAACTTGGTGTTTGTAGATTCACATCTTGGACACTTTGATGCTGCCTCTGGCATCGGTATGTTAGCCATCCTGGCTCGATCTGCCATGGAACCAGGCCGGATAGACCCTGCTGCACCTCCACTACCATGAGGCTGTGGAGGTGGAGGAGGAAGTGGTGGTGGAGGAGGAAGCTGAGTCGTTGCACTAACACTTGCGCTTGATTGCTGTAAAAATATAGAGAAAAAGCAAGAACACAAAAGAAATCAAATATCAGCAGCTAGTATATTCAAGATAGAACAAAAGTTACAAGAATATTTATCTTTTGAAATTTGCTTTTTGCGAATCGAAGAAAACCCAAAAATTTCTTACTTGTTGCCAGTTGGCTGGATCAAGATATGGGATTGAGGAAAAAACCATGGTGTTGGGTTCTTGATCTTTCTTCCTTTTGTAAAGGTTGATGGGTCTTTGAGAGAGAATAGTGGAGAATCACATCAACACAAAGAGAAGAAGAGAAGTAGCTTAAGAGAGTAAAGGGAGAGAGGGATATGAAGAATGAGGAGCAAAAATAGAGAGAGGAGGCTTTATATATAAATATAATAGTATAAATAAGTTGTTTGTTCTTTCTTTTTGTTTTCTTGCTTTTTAGGGTTTGGAGAAGACCATATATGTTTCTTAACCCATAAGCTTCTTTTTCGTGCTTGGAAAAATGGGATTAGTGGCTCTCCTCTTGCATGGTACAGAAAAAGTTGGTTTGTCTAGTGAGAGAGTGCTGCCAGCTGATGCTTGATTTTGCAATTAAAACTTAATCAATTACGTTAAGGAATAGTTGATAATGCCCCACGAAGACTACTTAGCGGTTAAAATAAGGGCCTTGTAATATTCCAGTCCCCAGATTTAGTCTTGTCAAGTCTAAGATTAGCCTAATTAAATGTTAATTTTAACCAATTAGCAATTATATACATAAGTAGTTTAATTATATATCAATTTACTCTTAAAATGACAATACATATAATATATGAATAGTATGAGTGAAGGGTTGTATAACCCAATATCGAAAAAGAAATTATTTTATCCATAAGCATACTTCTAACGGTAGCCTTCCAGGTAAAAAGATAGTAGTTAAATACAGGAGGAAAGAAAAGTAATTACTTCCGAGTGTGGCCTGTGTGTTGTGCAACAATCGAAGTGTTCAAACCGGATTAATTAACCTTTTTCCCGGTTCGGTCTGTTCCCTTCCCCGGTCCCTACTCTTTTTACGTATTTTATTTTATTTATTTTTTTGCATGGGGAATATTTTAATTTCAGTGCAAATTTCACTCACTTTTGGGACGCGTAGTTTCACTTGCCTCGTGCCTCACATTTTATGGACTGCCTTCTGGGGCCCAAACAAGTCCAGGAGGCCTGGGCTGGGCCTCCATGTTTTGAGAGGACAATTTATGTTAGAGAAAGAACAGAACAGGGCTGCTACTCCATAAGTAACCTCCAATCTAGATGATTTAAGGGATGTTTGGAATAACTATTCAAAACTAACTATCAGTGCCTTCGTCTAATTTAATGGTTAACAATTATTATTATTAATAAATTAAACACTTTTCTTTATTGAATTAGATAAAACCATTAATCGGCTAGTTTTAAACTATTATACCAAATAATTCGGTAAAACATATAATTGTTTCACAAAAAATGATAGGCTATGTACAAGTAAAATAACCATTAAGACTCTAGTATAGATACATACTTGAACCAGCCTAACTAGCAAGGTAAACACTTCTCTAGGGGCATTATATTTCTCAAACAACTTCTGATTCCTTGACATTATATTTTTAAGATCTGCCATCTTTTCAAGAGAAAATTTACAGCATACGAAGTTCAAGATTATAAACATCATTAGACAAAACAAATATGAAAAGGTAATCAGTAACATCAAAAAGTAGTCACGTTAAAGCCTTAGACCCGATCCTTAAGTAATCAAGAAGAGTTTGTATAACAAGAATCAAAAGCAAAATGTCTATATTTGTTATTTCATGATAACTTGGAGCTCTATATGGTCACTTATTGTAGTTCTTTTGGACAAAGCTTAGTTTAATTAATCAAACTACATTACCTGTTCTTGTAACTCTTTCAAGTAAATCTGGTTTCTTTCGAACCCCTGTGGTTAGATCAACACCCTGTGCCTACAAGCATTAAGAACAGAATAATTCATAAATCTTCTGTAAATCCAGGTCCACATGTTGAAGCATGAACTTATCTGTATTTCATAAAATATTGTTATCTAAAGAAATGATTTTTTTTCTGAGAATGTTTCCAGCGTTTTATCTTTTCTAAGTCTATTGAACATCTAGATCGAAGTCCCTTCCCCCAATATGCTTTCTCCTCTTTTGTAATTATATCTGATGCCTCAAGAACATTTGATGCATCATAGACCCTTCTCTGTACATTTTCTGTTGGGTTAGGCTTATCCCTCATATGTGGAGAAATGGCCAATATTTGTGGACTAAGCACATACTTGTTAAGCCCACTTAAAGCCACACTTTGCAGCCCTTTAAGACAAAGAAAGAAGTCTGATTGGAGCAGCAGAAAAGTGGAGAGCGTGTGGACCAGCCGGCCGGAGGGAAAGAACGCACGAGAGAATGCTACAGATTTGGTACAGTGCACAGTTTGCAATTTTATTCCATCCGCAAAACTTTATCATTGGATTGAGTTAAAATTTTATTTAGATATTCATAAAATATTGATCTATATTTTGAACAGTTAGTTTTTTGTTTAAAGCTTTGATTTGTGTCAAGAACAGTAACTTATTTTTGGGTGATCTATTTTCTTATGGTCTTATTTTCTTTGTTAGTTTATGACTTGTTATTCCTCTTATTTGATACTATTTTTGTGCCTTTTTTAGAAGATGATATTCTATACTCTCTTTTATTATAATGGAGTTTCTTTAGTGGACTGATTTCCCATGGTTTTTATCTATTTTTGGGATTCTCCACGTACAAATATTGTATCTCTTGTGGTGATTGCTTTGCCTTTATCATTTCTACTGTTTTGCATATTTTTCAGCTGCTGCCATAATTTATTTGGACTCTATTTAACTTGCTCCTAACAATTTCAAATAAATTGAAAAAGATTTTGATGTTGTTTCTGTTGTACTTAAGTGACACCTTGTTGTTCCCAACATTTTTGTGGAACTAAAAACCATGAAATATGAATCTCTTTTACAATACATCTAAGTAGTAAGCATCACATAATCGTTGAGTAAGTACTTCATGGTCACAAGGAAATAAACCTTATCCAAAGATGCTGCTGCTTTTGTTCTGCCTTACAGATATCTGGGCGGCAATTATAGTAGCGACCTGTACATTATCATAAACCGACCACTCAACTCATCTTTCGAGATTGGATATCAGAACAACAATTTCATAAAACCAAGTGAATGCAATCAAACAGAACAGTAAGGAAAAAAAAAAAAAAATCTTTCAGAAACACCAAATTAGGAATGTATATCTTCTGGACTACAAACCTCTGCCGCAACCAAATGAAGGAATCAAGTCCAATTCAAAAGAACAAGAGCTATTCATTAAGAAACATATTATTGAGAAGAAGCAAATCAAACATTATGAATCCAACTCTAGACTGATAATTGCCATTCATTTTAGAAGGAAAAATAGTGTCCAAGTTCCGCAATTGGGATTTCAGAAAATTGTATCATTTTGTGGTACACAATAAAATCTATAAGTGTATCATTTTATGAATCAACAATCAAGTCCACACAAAAAGACCTCAATAAGATTCATCAGTAACTTGAGGAGAAACATTTAGGATCTTCATTTTAGTCTAAACAACAATTATGGTTGCAGATGATACAGAGTAAATACACCTTAGCATATGTGGTGCCTCTCTTATTCTCCAACTTCTTACAAACTGTGAAAGCCATCGGAATCAGTATATACAGACATTCAAAACAAATCCTATTCATCTATTGCACAAGTGCAAATTTAACATGCCTATAATCTATCCAACGTTTCCTTTATCAACGTCTATAAACGCGCGACATGAATGCCTAACAACTTATATAACGTTCGATCTCCTGGGAAGGCTTGCGTTAATCCACCAAAACCCCGCTGTCCGTTTTTGACACATTATGTGAGAATACCCTTTCTTTGTACACCACGCAAATTGCAGTTGAAAAGGACTTCAACTTCAAGGAGGAGGAGGAGGAGGAGAGCTAACTGCCTATATATATATATATATATATGCTTATATACATGCTAGTGCATATATAACATCAGCTAGCAATTGCCGCCCCCACACCCTCCCCCCAAAAATTTTTTAAAAAAAGAGACTCAAGCCAGCGACAAAATATGGCCCCGTTCAATTTACAGCATTCAACAGTATTAACCAAGGCATTGTATTTCCAACAACTGAAGCATGAGGTAAATATAGAATGTACCATTCTTTTTCTGCTTGTTATATAACAGAATGATCCTCAAATATATTCTTTAAGTATTTTATAAATTTTGGTATAGAATGCAAAAGAGATGAAGAAAATCAAATCCAGCATGAGACAGTTACAAGCAGAAATGAGAGA